AACTTCTTCTGTTAGTTGGGTCAATTTTCCTACATAAGCTGCTGTATATATAATATTAAAAGGTGGATATAAAACTCTGGGTGTAAATTTGCATATAAAACTTTTGTTTGTTGATGTAAACTTTGACATCTGCAATTGTGCGTAATGTGTATATGCAAAAGTTGGCATATAGGTTGTGTAACCAAAAACATGAGCATAAGATTTTCAACGCTTTTTTTTCCCCTCCAAATTATCATCCATATGCCTAATATATTTTCCTTTTATCTTCCTCCAGGCTTCAGGCTAAATTTGGTTCTGCTTGGCAGATACCAACAAATGTGTGAAAGCAATAGAAACATTGTGTAATAACGACAAAAGAACAAAGCTATTGAAATAGTTATCTAGAGCATTCTCCCAGAGAATAAAATATCTTTAATTAGCAACTATCAGGATATTGCTTTGTTAGAGATCATATTCTATGTCTTCAAATGCAGGTCATCACAGAATAATTTTGACATTCAGTGCTAAAATATCTTAATAGACAATTTTACATTAAAAAAAATGCTCTTTGTAAAAGACAGTCCTGACACTGAAAGTATGAACAGCTTAAAACACCCTTAAAATTCACTTTTCAATATGATAAAGCTGTGCACCTTCAAAACCAGGAGAAAAACAGTACGTAAAAATTTTGAATACAACTGAAATTACTTGTATTCCCCTCTACACAATGTCTAGATTAATGCAGATATTGTTTTCTAAAGAATCTGTAATAGTGAAAACATTATGATGAAGTATCATCTCTGGTGTTTAATTACTAATATCTGCTTCAATGAGGTGAATCTGTGAGAAAACATAACATCTAATAGTATCATTAGTATATGGCTGTTGGTTTGGGGGCATTGTGTCATTCTCAATTATATGCAGCTGCACTGAGAAGGAGCCTATCAGAATCTGAACTCTGTCATGCTTTCAAATTTTATGTCCGCAATATGTGACCTCTGTGTCAGTTGCTTTTGAACCATGTTGTATGCTAAATAAGTGACAATAGCTCAAATTAGGTTTCCCAGGTGTTGAATATAAATTTAAATTAAAGCTTTTTTTCATTATTCTGAAGTGCTTTACCTCAAGAAGCAGACTAATGCACTCTGGACGCATCCTTTGCACATTCTTTCACTTAGTTTGACCTAAATCAGGTGTAACTGCCAGACAGAAACATCAGTGGAGTTCATCAGTATAAGTCACATGTTCACCAGCATAACTCAAGGCCACAGCTTGTATACAAACCTTCACAGGAAATCATTATGCAGATCATTTGTAGATTACACAATCTGGATGTTACAACCATCAAGGGTTTTTTAGCATAAAAAGTTTAGGCCACTATTTTGTTACAATCCTGTAAAAAAACTCCACAGTGCAGAAAGCTATACAGATATTCTTTTCTTGTGTGTATATATATACACAGAAATTAAAAGTGTATTCATGGCTAATCACATTTTGATTTAGGTAAAAGAAGTTACTAAAGTTACGGGAGTTATGTGTACATAGCTAAAGACTACCACTTGGTCTAGTAAGAGCAGTCGATGTCACTGCTAATTTAGTTTTCTCCTTGCTCATCCCCATTCCCCAAACCAACCATGGTCACCATGTCTAAACTTAATAATCTTACAGGTTACAACTGTATTAAGTTGAGGATACCTCTAATGTCACTAGGCATAGAATTAGAAATGCATCTCCCTCCAAACAATATGAACTTTCAGCCATTTCAGTAGGTTTTCAGCTTGTCTGCTTATTGTTTCTCTTTAGTCCTACCTGCAGTGATTTTTTTAGCCTCAGAGCTTTTCTTTGGTCCTATGATGCCCCATCCCAGCTAATCTTTAACTGAAGGGCAAAAGAGAGGGCAACAAATGACAAAACCCTCATGATTCAGTGCATGCTACGATAAAAGGTACCTGGCATAGAAGACCTTTGAGAGGGAGGAGGACAGACAGCAGAGGGAGAAAGATAGAAGGAAATGCCGTCTCGGGCTTCTAAAACCTTGAAAGGGATGAACACCCTGCTGTTGTCTTTAATAGTTCATAACAACAGCTGTCTTCCACTTGTGAATGATTCCTATGATGTGGCACTTCCTTATATGACATTCTTCAGTTCCTTCTACCTCTTGTATTGCTTCACGCCTCACTGCACCACAGGAGACATCATATTGCAAAAAACTCTTCTCTTGTGAAGTGCCTAAGCACCACAGGAATAGCACTTCTCTGTCAGAATGAAAAGAGTCTTCATTACATATTCCAGGTTTGGGATTTCTTTTGTTGCTTTCTTTGTTTTGTTCGGTGGTTCCTCCTCCTCCCTCCCCTCCCCCGAAATATACCAGTAACAATGAAAATAATCTGACACCTTTAATAAACTAACATTGTAACGGAACTCAGTTAAATTGTCAGATACATTAGGGTCATACCTTGCTGCATAATTTAGGTCTAATGTGCTTTCAAGTTCATGAGACTTTTATATACATCTATGAGCATACATAGATATCATGTACACCTATGATGCTGTATAAGTGACAACTAAAAGTATACATGTCATATACGTATATGTCTATAAAGTTATGTATATATGATTTTCTCTAATGTTTCTAATGCTTTATGTTTAATACTGCAAATACAAATATTATCAATCTAAACACAATCTTTGGATCATTCTGCTAAGTATCTCACTGGATTTGTGAGGTATTATTTGATACTCGCTTTCTTTACTGTTCATTGAAGGATAATGCAGAAAGTGTCAGACAAAAATACATGAACCAATTTCATGAGCTGAAAAGCTCCAGTGACTACTGAGTAGATATTTTTCCCATTTGATTAAACAATCAACAACTGAAAGCTCAGTCCTGCAAATGCTTAGACATATGAAGAATTTTACTCCCATAAGTAGGTCCTGGAGATATTATTAAATTCCTGGAAGTAAAATTACTCATATTGTTCAGAGCATGCAAATCTAAATATGAACAATATATTAACTATTAAAAGTGTTATTTTTGCTATAGATCTGCACTTTTAATTATACATTCAATTTGACAATAACCCATTTAAAAACATTATGTGAAAAAAACATTGCTTGGCCTATTTTTATTTTTATTTTTGAGTATGGCTTTTTAAAGACCAAATAAAACAAATATTAGAGGATTATTTCCTTATTAATTATATAAATTATTTTGAAACCTAAACAATATAATGCATTGGTAAAAAATCCATTGTTATAGCTTGCAATTATGAGGTGACTGTGTACAAAAATGTGTATTTTATACACTTAATTACTATGGTATATTAATAAACTGAAGAATATAAAGCAGTACATTCTGTACAATAGCATTCAGCTGTTTCTAAAGTTTAGATGAACCATTTGTTTACTGTCAGGTTTTGTTGTTTTTTTGTTTTTTTTTTTCAAAATTGGAAAGACATGTCCAAACTTTGAGACATTTGACAAAGGTTTTAGTTCAATTTAAAACTAGATAAGCTGAATGGTTTTCTTTTTTATTTTAGGTAAAGTTCTGTTTTGTTTGTCAGGGAGATTTTTATTTAACAAATTCTAAACCACATTTGACAAATAGTACTTCCTTGGGAAAATGATGTGAGTTGATTTTTATATTGAGCATGTCCACAAAAAAAGAAAACAAATGCTATTTTTACCTCACTTTATCACAAAAAGTTGATGTTTCCTATAATGGTTACAAATATGCCAATAAAAAGATGTTTAATGAAAAGTATTGTAGTACACAATAAAGTCTTATAGAATATTTATTACCGAAGAAATACATTACAAAAGATTTTAAAGGTCAGATCCTACAATGCTTTGCTGAGCAAAATGGAAATCAGCAAAGAATGCAGAATTGGACAATAGCTAATATGAGATGGATATGTGATCTTTGTATTGCATTAGTCATTTAGGCCCAGATACTTAAAGGCATGAAACTTGATCTTAATTTTTTTTTAGTAACTGTCATTTAGCCCTTTATTTATTATATGTATGTATTAAATAATTTGAAGTCTAAAGAAGAATTGAAAACTTCTTTCCTAAGCAAAAGTGCCCTGATTTCTTTGGGTGTTTTGCCTGGCTAAGGACTGCAAAAAAAGGCCTTAGGGAAGATTTAACAGGAAACCTATTAAGTGACCATGAGATCACACACTAATCCTATCCTTAGGATAAAATCTAATCCTATATTTTTGACTGAAGCGCTAAATTCCTCCTGGTCTGTCATCAGTACATGCATAATTACTCCCTTCTTGCTTTTGCCTGTGCATGCCTAATAGAGACAGTGCAATATCAACCTCGATATCTTTTACTATAATCTATGTTTATGACATAATAATGACTTATTTAAAAGTATTAAGAATGTAACACTTTTATTGAAAACACATATGAAACAAAATGGAAAGAAGTGGCTGTTAACTTCAGTGATTGTTGTTCATATCTGTCTGTAGCTTTCTGGAATAGTTATTCCAGAAATTATTTTTACTTACGTTAAATTCTTATTAGAGAAGATGTGAGTTTTCTAGCCAGAAAGGTAGAAAACATGGTACTTGTTCATTCAGCATAGATTTAGTAATTTGTATATTTCGAGGTTCTTATTGTTAGAAAAGGTTGTAAAATAATGTGTTTCTAGTAGATGGAGACATTTAGATCTACTGAGCAATTAAGTTCTGAGTGCCTTCCTCTCCATATTCAAAACTACTTGAAAGCCACATCTATGTAAGAGATGCATACCATATGCTATTGTTTCTCTGAAAACCCCTTTTATGAACTACCTTACAAACCTTCTGTCCACAGATGTCCCAAATTATTCAATTACTGTAAATATTTTATCCAGGTACCGTATAAAAAGGAGAATATTATTTTAAAAATTGCACTGGATCTGTTTTTCAGTTTCGTTTTGGGGTAGTTCTTTTGGTTTTGTTTTTGTTGCATTTTTTTCTGCAATTTTGCCAGTAGATTTAGTAAATATTTATTCAATAAGACTAGAAAGATTCAATATGACTATTGTTGAATTTATTTGTCCCTGTAATCTCAAAACTTCTTTCTGAATATAGAGCATGTATATTCATCTAATTCAAAGACTTCAGTTGCTACATATTCAACTAGACAGCTTGTTGTGATGGTTAGTTATTCTTGGAGCTGCTTATTTTTCAGGCCCATCTTAAAGTATCTAACTAGAGACAAACGAAACAGTCCAACAGCTAAGTTTTCCTCTTTCATTTGTTAAATTGTAATAGTTTTTTAAATGCTAAATAATTTAACTATTCCTTATTCATCAATATAAATGGTCAAGAAAAAAAATGCAGAGTGAAAAACAAATATCTGCATTAGTTCTCACTTTTTTTTTTTTTTGCATCTATGCATGCTGCTTAATGGTTTTGTAGCTGGCAAAATTTTTATATGAAAGGTCTCTATATTAAAAATAAAGAAAAATATCAGAATACATGGTATAATGCTTGCTTTCAACTTGCATTTCAGGTATACAAACATCAAATCCTGTTCTTTGCATATCACAGCAATCAGCTCAATATGTAAAGTGAACAAATGTGGAAATATACGCAAAATACTGATTTGAATATCAGGCTTTCTCAGCTAGACATTAAAAATAATCAGCAGAAAGATACAATTATTATAGAAGATTTCTAGTATTTCCATGTTATATTTTTCTGAAATTATTTTAATTATTGTACCAAAACCATGCAAATCTGATCTCCAAAATATGTGTATACAACATATGAATAATGAAAATGGTATCAGTCATTACATCTACTGGAAATAATGTTCAAATCTTCTGAAAAAATACAAGAAATGTGTTTGGATGAAAACTCAAATTTTAACAAAGGTTGTGCTATTAACACTAATATTAATTTGTACCACGTACCCTTCTAAAATCATATTTCCCTTTTAAAATTTGCAAGCTGTATATGATAATATTCACTTCCTGTCTCAAACCACTGGGTGTATTGCTGTGTAAATTGAACAGTTTCACATTTCAGTGGCAGAAGTGATGTTTGAATGCAGCTTTTATTAGCTTCTTAAGTGCCCAGTGCTGTTCCCATTGGCAGTGCTCCCATTGACTTCAATCAGGGCAGGAACAGGCCCTAATTTTGTAAGGCACTTTAGGATCCTTTGGGAAGAAAGGTGTTAGAAGAATACACACCGTAATTATCAATTAGTTGTCAACAAAGCACTCTCACAAATATCTCCCATGGTCACAGAACATCATATCTTAATTTCAAATTTCACTTTGCTGTAGCAATTTTAATGCTGCTACTGAACTATTTATTTGCCCAGACTCTGAGACATTTTGTGACATCATAATTTCCAAATTTGACATGAAGAATTTTGATGCCTGTGTAATGAAAAAAATAAAATAAGCCAACCAAAATGAATTTTTTCTAGGATTATATAAAATAAGATAGATCAAAATACCTGCCTCTCTTCTGACTGTGTTGCCCTAATTATAGCTAAAACATCATTTATATGTAAGAATTTCATATGAAGGGCTGAAAAGTTGCACATATCTAAAAAGAATGCTTACAAATTTAAGAATTAGTAATATTCTAAGTATTAAATACTCTGTGTTCTATATACTTTTACTTTTGCATCTCTTCACTTGGACAGTTAAATTAAAATCTTTGATTTAACTTCTGGTAAAAAGAATACTTGCTTTCAGAGTCTCTGCCCTGAGAATAACTACTTCCTTTTCAGTATTAATAAACAATTTTGACAATGTTAATCTTTTCAGTATTAAAATGCAGAAATAAATATATATTGACCATATTCCAAACATGAATTCACTAAAAAGGGCTCCTATTTAATCACTGGGGTCATTTAACTGGCTGTAACATAAAGAGGGGAAAGGCCTCTTAGCAATTGTTCACTCACCTCCTAAAAACCCTGTAAGTCCCAAAAATAAGCATGACCTGATTTTTCTGAGCTTGAGGAGAAAAAATAAAAATAATAAAAACAACAATTCTTATTGAAGAGTTTGAATGACAGCTATTTAACATCTTTATATTTCATTCAAATACTGCAATACCTATTCTAATAAAAAAACCCCCACCAAACACCCTAAGCCTTGTTTTAGAAGACAAGACAAAATGAGGACATTCAGAACCTATAAGAACTTATATTCTATATATGGCTTTACAGTTCAAACCTCTGAATAAATAAAAATATTCATTTAATCCTCCCAGTACCCTTCTGCCACAAACATTATGAGGAGTAACCTTTTCAAGCCAGCAACATTCAACTGAAAGCAAAATATAGGAAAACAAAAATGAAGCATTTCAGAAACTGAACCAGTTTTAGATTTCAAGATCCTCAGGTGTTTCTGAATATATCAAAATGCTTTCTGATACACACAACTAATTGTATATGGTCTACATGAGAAATATCAAAACATACTCTTTTAAGAGGAAGAAAATACTTTGGTAACAGTAACATTATCCTAATATGTTCAGAAACACACATTTCTCCATCAGACAAATCAGAATTCAGTCTAAGGATTTAATAAGCCTGCATGTGTTAGACATATATTTAAAATCAAACTCCAAACATAAAGGTATGTTACACAAAAAACTCTGACTGAATCTGGTGAGACTACTCTCATCAATCAAATTATCCACATGTGGAAGTAGTCAGAGAACCAAAATCTATCTTGGAAATTTTGTCTTCATTGTTGTGTTAAATTGTTTTTCTCTTAGGGTTGTAAAATAATATTGAGTTTTAATGATTAAATGAACACTTGTGAGGCCTTACATCAACACACAGAGCTGGAGATAAGGGTACCTAAGTATAAGACAAACATAAAAGAAAACAGTTTCACTATGTAACTGTAAATTGAAATTACACGGTATTCATCAGGCCAAAGCTGGAAATTTTTGTTATTTCACCATAGATGATTATATAAAGCAGTTAGTAATTCTCAAACATTTAAACAGTGTGTGAGGTAAAATAAATACTTATTTTGACATGAAAAAAATCAATCTGAGTAATTTGGATAATTTTTCATAAGATAAATAGTATGAAGACAAATTGATGAGATGGTGTTTTTTTTCTCCACAATTAAAGCTCTGATCCTAATCAAATCTAACAAAACTTTTTAGTAATCCAACAACTCCTAAGAAATATTTAATTACAGACAGCATTCAGTATATAAAATATACTGAAAATTATAGAATACATTCATTGTATAAAATTATGTATGGATGAAAAAATATTAACCATCATAAATACATTCAATTACATTTCTAAAAAATTGGTGAACTTAGAACCATTATCTTAACCACTTTTTGTATTTATAGAAAAAATTTTTCTCAAAAGAGTAGCAACTTCTTATTCTTTAGGAAAAAGTATTCTTAAGGAAGAATTAACGTACAAGTAAGTACAATATGCATCAGTAGATTTCTACAATTTAAAACTTATTAAGCAATATATTGCACAATAAACCTAACAGATCTTACTGTTCAACATATTATAGTATGTTGCCACTTATTTGTTGGTAGCTATTACCAGTCATACCAAAAAGGAAAAAACCAAACATTTGAAACCTGATCAGAAATCGTCAATAACGGGTTAATTTTACCATTTAAATTACTATGATGAAAAGTTTAATTATATAAGCATTGCCTAATTATAAGACAGTTCCTCTTTTTAAGACAAGGTGCATTTTAAAAAATTATTCACAAAAAACCATGACATTTTTAACTGTCTGCTGCTCCTGAATCACCTACATGTTTATGTGAGTAGGTATTTGTGTTACAGGTTTACATGAATGATGCTATAGATAGAACTTTTTAAAAAATCCCTACCTAAAACATAATTTCCTTTGACACTGATGAGGATTTTACTTAAGGTTTTACACCAGCTATCAGAGCTACATAACCAAACACACCTCTTCACTGCCTCTGTTTTATATTATCACAATAGCTTAGATCCCTGCTCTGTACTCAAAATAAAATAAAAAGCAGCCTTCAAAGCAAAGATAGGCAGTATGATTCAGTAATGTGTAGGAAAAAAAGAATGACAAGGAAACAGAAAATTAAAACAGAAAATGTGTAACTGTTAACTCCATTTCAAAGAGTTAGAATGTTTTTAAACATTAATGTTGTAAACTTTAGGAACCCATCAATATGTAGTGTTTTTAAATCATTTTCAGGACTAGTACTGACTACATTGCATGCTATGTTTGGATGGAATAAACAAAAATATCCACCCTTAAAAGACAAGCATAATTTAATCACTGAAAAAATAAAACAACCTTAAGAAACAGCCAAAGCTGTAACCGATAGTCATGTTATTGCCATTTGAGACTTGAAACACCTTTGTAGCAGGGACTTTCCTTATGCATGGTAGGCTAATAAACAGTATCTAACAGGAAGAGAAAAAAACATAAAGTGTAAAGACATTCCATATTTTCAAAAACCAAAATCAATTGCAGGATTTCATTCACTTCAAAAACATCAAATACATTGATTAGCCAATTTTTCCTTTGATGCACTTTTCATCATAACTAAAGGAAGATATTTATATTTAAGAATAAATGATTCAGCAGAATATTCATTCTTTGAAAGTATGTGGTTCAAGTTCTTTGATGCCAATGTAGGCATTTCTTATAAATTTGCAAACAGAAAAATGGACATATTCTTGAATTTTGAGCTTAATGTGAAGCATATTGTAATCTACACTTTTGGGTTTGCTATAAATTACCAAATAACCACATAACTGAATGTGCAGTACCGTATGTATCTACACATAAACTCATGCAAACACATCATTACATGACTTATAAAGACTTGTCTGAATGACTTAAAAAAATTATGTCAAAACTATTTTTAATTGGATTATTAATAAATTTTAGACAAAATTAATGATATATTCGATTCAACTTAGCAAACTGCCAGCCTGAAAATGCTTTTAAAATGTTTAATTTTCCATATTTTAAAAAAAAATTACAATTGTAAAATTGTATTGTGGCTGAAGAGTACCAATGCTGTGAATAACACTGCTTTAATTTTTAGCAGAAAACTGCCATTGGGACTACCAGCTTTATTACAGCTGAAAATAAAAACCTGATCAGCTCACCTAAGTTCAACATTTAGAAAGAGAACAAATCTTTTTCATGTAGTAATTACTGCATAATTAAACGCAGTTATGAATTCAGTAATTTAAAACTAAATTCAGATATCTGATAGTGAGACCTCTATAAGAACTGCTGTCATACTCATAAATACATTTGGTATGTGTCTATTTATCCATTTGACTGGACAAAATAATTGCTATGGTAATGAAGTTACAGCAAGGTCAAGTTCAGGTCAGTTTAGCCATGTGATGGTACATGAAATGTAAAAGGTAGAGCCTTAAAATACAGGAACCTTAATGCCCCTCAATGCATATTCAGCTAGTTGCAAACTGCATTTGAGCTGAACTTTTGCTCCTAGCAACTCCAACCCCAAATTTATATTACTATACTAGAAAAGTTGAAATGTTGAAGGACTAGACTGACTTTTTGGTGACTATGTGGATATAACATTTATAAGCTACATATGCTATACGAAGAACTTTTGTTTCATTACAAACCTAAACGCTTTCAAAACTCACATGGAAATATTCTTATATCACAGTAAAGACAATGTTAATTAAAGAAACATAGATAGCTATAAGTGTATGCATACATATATATTTGCATACTCATATATATGTACACATACACTTCCATACATATACACACAGAAATATATATTTTTTTTTTAAAATACAGATGGTAAAAAATACAGATGGTTAAAATAATAATCTACTTGGTAATTAAACACTGTTTTCAGAAATTCAAAAACTGTACCAGATTGTCACCTCCCAAGTTTTATTTTAAGAATCTAATTTAGTACTTTAAGCATTTCTGAATAAAGTTGATATGATGTCTCTGACAAAAGCAATCTCATTGTTTGACCCCCTCCTCAAACGTAAACTTTTTGTCACAGTATTGGTACAAAATTACCAGAAGGCTTCAATAATCTAATGCTCACATAATCAGATATACTGTTGAAATCATGAGAAGAAAATGTTTTATTACATGAAATACCGAACTAGACAAGTATTATTTCAACCTTTTATCTTATCCCACTCTAGACCTTTTTGGAAGGTCACCCAGAACCATGTCATGATATACAATAGTAATCATGAATCCAACCAGAAAAAATCATTTATGTTTGACATGGTCTATAGTTTATTGCAAAATTTAAAAATACTGTAAATATAAGCCTGCAAAATTGCAGTAAAAGTAGTTGCAAACACCACAAAGGTTATAATTTTTATTAATAGGTATTTAATCTAATTGAAGGTTTTAGGACGAAGTCCACAGAATTAAATAGATGTATGCTGTCTGTTCATAAAGTTCATCATTCTGAAGAACCACATCTATACATGTGGATTACATGGACTTCCCATATAATCAGGACAATGTGGGTCCAAGATAAATTTTACAGTTCTATACTACAGCAATGTTCAGTTAATATGCCAGCAGACTGGAAATAGATGTGATTCATTTTTTAAGTACATAGCAGAACTACAAATGTTTATCATTACTGTATTCAAATTTTTCACTTTACAAAAGAGAAATACTAAGAGAATGGCTTATTTCAATGACAAAAAGCCAAACTTGTAAGAGCAAGGTAAATGTTTTGTAACTTCCTTAAGTCAATGGAATCCAGTTTTGTACTTACACAACAAGAAGCAAAATGTGGCCCATTAGCTGTAAGTTAAATAGTTAATTTGATAGCCATTTAATTACAAACTTCATTACACTTTACTTCTTTGACTATTCAATTAACTGCCTCTTGTTCCTAGTACCTTAAATGTGCCTCTTTTTTTGTGTCCTAACTGTTCTGTTCAGTTTTAAGAATAAACAATTATTCTAAAGCACAACTGTGCTTAGCATTTCTGGAGTATCATTATACTGCTAGCTACTCTGAAATGTAGCTAAATAATGAACAGGGAAAAAAAAACATTGTAAAGACTTGTGATATTAGGATAGTATTTACACACAGATGGATAATCACAAATCTGTAAGGCAGTATTGATGAACTGTAAGGAGATCTATGTGTCCTTATTTCATCAGAGCACATTGCAAAGCTTCTTAGAAAGGTTGGGAAAAACAAATAATATGTCTGCCCCATTCAGAGGGCCGCTATCCTGCTGTCTTCTCTCACAGAAACACCTCATTCCTCCATCCTCTTGTCACTACTTAGCTTCAGGTCCTACATTTTCCAGAGTTAAGTAGATGCTGCAGAGAGAAGGTACAAGTTCCCTACAATGAAATAATCAATAGAAATGTGAAGACTGTTTGAAGGTTGACAGCTATGGAATTGTGTCTGCCATTCACTCTCCCTTCTCTCCCCATTCTTCTTGTTTAATGCCAGTAGCATCAGTAGCGTTCTCAGTTCTGCATAAGACAGCAAAAGATTTCAGCCTCCTTCTCTGGTTTGGAGACGCTGCATTTCAGTATGCCAGTCTTTAACCAAATGAAAGGCTATTCAGATTCCCTGGAGACACTGAGCAATATAAAGAACCTGCCCTCTAAAAATGAAGGAGCTCTTGTTTACCCTGTCCTTCAGGATATAGTGCTTTAATGGACTCTGCCCCCTGAGAGGGAACCATATGCATTAAACAGACTCTTAAGTTTCTGTAAGAAACAACATGCTGGTCAGACATTTTAGCTCCAGCTAAACAGAGGTCTAAAGAACCTACAGAACCAGGATCTTGCCTTCATATTTGCAAAGAACTACAATTAGCTATTCCTGCCTTTCCAGATATATTTTCTAAAATGTGTTTACCATGGGTCATAAGCTCACTTTTATGATGTTTTACCATTTTCGTATTACTTTAATAACTAATTTATTGATATAAGCTTTATAAAAAACTAAAACACAGGAAAACATTCAGAAACTAAATACTGCAGTATAGAGAATCAATTGAACACGTTTTCACAACCTTAAGTGACCATTAAAATAGTGGATGGTAAAAATAAAAAAATGTAAAAATTTGGGTTTTAGAACTATAGAAGCGTAAGATGCCTTTATATCAGACTTTTAATCTGGTGTTTCAAGCAGTGCGTAAGAATGTCTAGGAATTACAGAGTATATCTTCTGGGATTAAGTTGAAGGAGTGGGGAGGGGAGGGGAGGGGAGGGAAGGGGAAGGGGAAGGGGAGGGAAAGGGAAAGGAAAGGAAAAAGTTCTCACTCTTAAACTCACCATTTGTATTTAAGACATTGAATTGGCTTGATATGGGAAAAAAAGGTAAAAAATATTCCTTTAACCTAATAAATATATATGTTTTATATTATCACAATTTATGTTTTGTTTCCAGTAATTACACTGAGAAATCAGGATTCTCTTCCACCTTTTTCTGTTCTTTTATCACAGAATTGCATGCACTTTTGAAATAAAATGTGAGGCCATATGAGTGATTCAGCACGCTCAACATTACTTGTCAAAGGACAAAAAATAAAGAAAAGAGGGGAAAAGTCACTTTAATTACCAATCTAAACCAGTCTGATAACCAACCTAAAATAATATACTGAATTCTCAAAATAGTGTGGATTTTTTTGTCTTGCAGCATTACCCCTTTGGTCAGCACTAACTGAGCAGATCATCATGCAGAAGGTTTCACTGATCTTGCTAGCAAAACAAAGGCCATATTCTTACAGAAACAGTTTTTCTTCAAACAAGTTATCCTATTTTCAAATCAGAGGCACATCTACCTTTGTCTATGTCTATTCCTTTCCTATTTCTTATGTCTACTCCTTCTTACAATAATTATCCAAAGAGGGTATATCATTGTAGCCACTGTGTGGGAATTTCTACTTCCATTGAAGTCCTCATTCACAAACAGCCCTTTCAGATATGCTTCAGGATGTTAACAGACTAAAGAATATTATTTTTCACTCTGTATCCTTTTTTAAGGATTTATCTTCAGGAATGCACTTTCTGTAGGTAACTGATGTAATTTAATTTTTTTCTCCATTAACGGAAGCAATAATATTTTTTTTTCTACTGAAGATAGGAAGCTGAAAAAATTTAAATTAATTGTTCTGATTGCAATGTAGATGATTAGAAAAAATCTTCATTACCAGTTATTAAATGCATGTGGAACACATGGAAGCAGCAGTAATATTAACCTCAGAAAAGGCAACATCAGAATGTAAGCATAAACAGAATGCCAAGGCATTTCTGTCAACTATTACAAATCAAGTAATTCCTGCTCATTTACTCATTTGTGGATGCTGCCTCTTTGTGGCAGCATGCCATGCAAAATGTACCTTTCACATTAAGGACCTAATCCTGTGTTTGTATTGACACCTATGCAAACTTATGTTTATGAGTTTAGAATCATACAGAAAACATATATATGCACACGAACAGACAAAGTTTGCAGGAACTTCTCATTCAATCCTTACTGAGTTAATTTCTCTCTGACAAAGTCAGCAAGGCTGAAAATTTTCTTACTTATACCCATTTAACAACAGTGTGCCTCTACTGAGTTTAAATGGGAGAACCAGACCACTGGCTTCAGCAATAGTTATAAAGGCAGTAATTCAAAATTAGGGCTCCAAAACTGCACCTCAGGCAGCAACACACACATCTCTCACCAGTGTCAACAGGAAGTCTGCAGGAGATGGTGAGCAGTGAACAGAATAGCCATGTGTTGTGTCTCTTGTGACAAAAGAACACTCCTCATCTCTGTGTTTCAAACTGAAATAACACTCCACGTACTAAACTGTCCAAACTAAATACAGTCATGCTTGCTGGTTGTTTTTTCTTTTTTTTTTTTTTTTCGCTTTTGCTCAATGTGGGTGGCATAGAAAGAACACATGCCAAGAAAACATTTATCTTGAATTCCAACAGACCAGTTATATAGCTTTGTTTTTGTAGAAAGTGACAGATTGTACATGGGTAAGAAAAGCAGAATAGAACAGAGCCCTTTTGCAATAAAAGATTTACTAGGGAACAACTCTGCAAACAATATAATATATAATAACCTAATGAAGGAAAAAAAAAACATGTGAAGTATGACTTACCCTATTCCACATATTAAAGAACACTTCAGTAAGGAGACAAAATGTAAATGTAAATCTATCCTATTCAATATGTTGTTGAATCACATATCCCTATGTTGCTTTCTGACCCATGTTATGTACGTCGGTAATTACCACGCCATATTTTGAAAACAGAGAACACATTATGTTTTGCCTAGAAACATTAAATCTTTTTGATGAGCCATAATTGCTAGTAAAGAGAATCCAATGTAAAACCAGATTATTTTGGCAAGAAATTTTAAAGTTCAAATACTCATTACCTCAGGATCTTACATTTGAAATATTTACCAAGTGTTTATTCAGAAACTATTAAAAAATCACATGTGCTGGGATACATATCAGTTGTCCCCTCTTACAGTGATGCTGTGTTTATGAATATCCTTGCCATTGCTTGCTGCCCAAAGGGGAAAGACATTTTATATAGATGTGTACAGTCCACCATTTGGTCTTTCAGGATGCCAGTAAACATGTGGATCTGTACAAGTGCAATTGTACTTGACTAAACAATCAGAAACTGGCTACAACAGTTGCAAAATCATTATATTTTGGTTAACTAATACAAAAGCAAAAATGAAAAAATAATTGAAACTGACAAATCAAAAATGAAACACTTTTTTTTCCTGATAAAATGAATGCCTTCTACATATCCCTCACTAGTTTGCCCAACCAGACTCCTAAGCAGGAGGTTGCTAAAAGGTATATTCTCAAATAGAAACATGACTTTTTTCTATTGTGATCGGATTTCACGTCTTAGATTGTCTGTTAAGATTTGGTCATAACTGGCATTATATCTAATGATTTAAAAGGTCCTTTTGATTCTACATCATATTTGGAAAAAAAGCTCTCGGTGTAGTGCAATACTTTAAAGGAATACGAAGACTTTGGACCTCGTCTTGAATTTAAAAAAAAAAACAAAAACAAAAACACTGAAACATTCCAGTAGTTTTACTTGTAAGAATAGTTCTGCATCCTCTATCCTAATTTTTTTGGCTTTTGACTAACTTTGCTCAATGAATGAGTCTAGAAAACCACACTCATTGGTAAAGTTGTTCATGTGCTTAAGTGCCTGCAGGATGAAGGCCTAAGCTGGGACTTCTTTCACAAGTAGAGACGCTGAAGTGAGTTAAGAATTTGCAGGATTAGGCCCTAAAATAGTGAAGGAAAGAGAAATGCTAATGTGCATATAAAAATAGGTGCTACAATAAAATATTTTTTTATATTTCATCAATAAATTATTTTCACTAACCAGTTATGGATCATATATCTCTGCACTCTTTAATGATTTGTCCACATCTACAGCGATCCTTTTAAAGATCATAATATATTTTTGAATTCAAAAGTCCAGAAAGTATACAAACACATCCTTAAAAAAAGGAAACCTTGTATTAAAGTCGGGGTGTGCTAATCTCTCCAAAAAAGCCATTTAGACTCACCCATGGCTAAAAGGGGAAAATGTGCGCTGTACTCTTCAACCAGAAAGAAACCCAAAATAAAGAATGTCTGTTAGAAAAAAATAAAAATAATAATAAAAAAATAGTGATAGTGACTTTTGTACTTGTGACCTGAACATGACCTGACAGGAACCTCCTGCCACCTTCCCCAAGCACACGTGGACACCCGCACAACACCAGTGTTGTGCCCATTTTACAAAGCAGGTGGTTTCTGACTTCCAAATACAGTAAAAGAAAAAAGAATAAACTAAACTGAACAGCACACCCTTTCAGAATCATTCCCCGAAGCTGAAAAGTCCTGTGCCAAGGCACTTCACCCTACAATAAAATGCATTAAAGGGGGAAAAAAGAAGGTGGGCGAGGTGGGAGGTCAGCATTTCTTTGTTTTGCGTGTGGTTGTTAAATACAAATACTCTAGAGAAGGAGCTGCTGAGACTGGCGAGGGGACGGGGAGGGAGGCTGTTTCTCAGAACTGGCTGAATGTGGTCTGTTTTTCCAGCACTTCGAGGTAGTCCGGCTCTGCGTTTAGTTTTGCTTTTAGCTCCAGGTACTCGTTCCTGTTGGGCTCTACATAGACAGTACTCGGGGGGCTGTAGAGCACCGTCTCCCGGAGTCTGCTGTCCCCCGGCCCCGGGTGCAAGTACTGGTGGGCACGCCTAAGGTCATAGTTAGGGGAGTAGGTGTAGGCGGCAGGGAGCTTGGGGTAGTCGGGGAGGGTGGAGCCGGGAGTGCCCAGCGTGGAGGAGGAGTGTTTGTCGGGCTCCAAAATGCCCCTGTAAAAGCGATCGGCGTCTTGCACTGGGGAGAGCAGCTCCTCCCGCGGCTCGATGGTGCTCACGCTGTACGCGGGGCTGCGCCCCGGCGCGTCCTCCCCGCCGGGCGCCGGCGGCGGTGGGGGCGGAGGGGGCGGCGGCGCGCCCCCCCCGGGCGACAGGGGGTGGCTGCTGTAGGTGACCTTCAGCTCGTGAAGGTCTTTGTAATCCTCGCCCGAATTGCCCTCCCGGGAGCGGTAGATGGGGTTTTTGCACATGTGGCCCAGGGGGTGCGGGATGTACTCGTAGACGTGGCCGGCGGGGGTCTTCACCTTGGGCAGCGCCGCGCCCCCGCCGCCGCCGCCCCCGCCGCCGCGGTGGGGCGGGTGCTGCTGCAGGTGGGGGTGGTGATGGTGGTGGTGGCCGCCGCTGTAGACGCTGTACTGCATGTTGAAGGAGCTCACGTCGGAGTTGTTGGCGCTGGCGTGGTCACCCTGGCCCTTCTTGCGCCGCTTCATCACCAGGACGAAGAGCCCGGCCGCCACGAAGACGGACATGATGAAGACCAGCAGCAGGCTGAGGATCAGCACCGAGAGCGGCACCGAGGAGGTGCCGCCGCCGGCGCCGCCCGCGGGCGCGGAGCCGCCCGCCGCCGCCGTGCCATTGAGGCGCACGGTGGAGGAGGAGGGGGTGGTCCTGGCCGGCAGCTGGCCCGGGGACGGCGTGGGCGTGGAGACGACGATATCCGAGTAGTCGGGGCACAGCAGCTCCGCCCGGACGGCCCGCATGTCGCTCTGGGCAAACTTCTTAGGAGACTCGCAGATAACCTGGTCCACCAGGACACCGGTGTTGAGCTGCTCCAGCCACAGCTTCATGCCCACCACGTCGCAGGTGCAGTCCCAAGGGTTCTCGTGCAGGTCGATCTGCAGCAGGGATTTCAGCTGGTCCAGCACCCCGCTCACTGGCAGGTAGGAGAAGTGGTTGCTCCGCAGGCTCAGCCTGTAGAGAGACAGACCAGAAAAAATGTTCCCTGGCAAAGACCTCAGCAGATTGTTGTTCAAAAACAAGAGCTGAAGGTTGGGGACAGATTCAAAGGTGCCTGCCTCTATCTCCCGGATGACATTGTACTGCAGGAAGAGGTACTGCAGGCTTTGCAGCCCATAGAACAGCTCTGGGCTCAGCCGCTCGATCCGGTTCCCATTCAGGTACAGCCTTCGCAAATTAGTTAAATCCCCAAAAGCCCGGTCCTGAATGACCGAGATCCGATTATTGCCCAGATGTAGCAAATCCAGCCCGGTGGCATCCACAAAATCTGCCCTGCGGACCAGTGCAATGTAGTTTTCCGTCAGATACATCTTCTTAGGATTATAGGGTTTGGGCTGCAGTTCAGAAATGCTCTCAATCTTCCTCTCCTGACAATTGACATTGAGGCCCAGGTCAGAAATCTGCAAGTTGCAAGTGCAGGCAGTGGGGCACTCCAAAGGCACCGGGGATTTGGTCTGGTAGGCAATGCTGGGGCCATAGTTGCTGTATCCCAAGTCTTTGGAGGGCAAGCGGGAGGTGGGGCGCACCCTTGGCTTGTTGGGTTGGCGGGTCCCTTTGGGGGGCTTCAAGGGAGATTTGTAAACAGCTGAAGAAGAAGTAGCCACGGAGTTGACCGAGGCTGGGGTTGTGTGGAAATACCCTGTGGTGCTCAGTGGTGTCTGAGGTCTCATTTCATAATCAGAGATGAGCCTCCTGGGGCAAAGCTCCTGCTTGGAGACTTCATCCAAGTCTCGACCATGTAAGCGGAAAGGGGTCTCGCAAACTACATCTCCCACCAGAGCAGAGTATGAGATACTGTCCAGCCAATCCTTTAGAGCAATCAACTCACAAGAGCAATTCCAGGGGTTTTCCTCCAGCTGCAGCTCCACCACTTTATCCATGTGCTGCAAGAGGCCCATATAGGGCAACAGCTTCAGCCGGTTACCCCTCAGGTCCAGGTGAGTTAAGGGCACAAAACGGAAAAGGTTGTTGGGCAAACTGGAGAGGAGGTTATCATTGAGAATCAGCACCTGCAGCAAATGCAGTTTGCTGAAGGCATTGGGTTCAATGATGCTAATATAATTATAATCGACCTGTAGGTATTCCAAACTCTCTAGCCCAAGGAAAGTGTCATCCCGTAGAAGTTCCAACTTGTTATTGTTCAAATGCAGCCTCCTTAAACCTCTCAGACCATGAAAGGCCCCAGTTTCGATGTCTTGTATGTCATTGCTCCCCAGATGCAAAATTGAAGCCCCGGTGTAATTGACAAACTGGTTTGGGTACAGCCTGTTCAAAAGGTTCCCAGACAACAAGAGGTGGTAGACAGGGAACCTTGGTGGACTGATCTCAAAAAGGCTGATGATCCCTCTGTTTTCACAGCTCACTGTTAAGATGCTGTCCTTCTCCTCACAAGGACATGCATTATCACAGATTTCCCCATAATACTCGATGCTTTCTGCCCACGAAAGGACTAGCGATGTTAAAGCAAACGCGATCGTCTGCAGCATCCAGATATGCATTTTTTTGTTGAGGTCCTGTTCCAAAGTTACTGTAGACCAGCAAGCATACATTTTATTTCCTGTAAGGATAAGGAGAAAAAAAAGAAAGTACCATAATAGTACAGCCCTGTAAAATTTAAAATGGAAATAAAGTTTATGTATGTCTTCATTAGGGTAGAGAATGGATTGTTAATCAACAAAAAAACCAAACCTCCTGTCACTTCTAATTCCCATACTTTCGAAAACTGGATGACATGCATTGATTAAAGGGTTGATAGGCAACTCCTAGTGAGTCAAATGCCTGCGGTGTTTAAAACAGTGAGGTCACAGTAGGAATTGTTCTGGTTCTGTTTGTGTGGGGTGCATTTCAATGCTTCCTTGGATCTTTTTCATGACCAGCCCCATAAATATACATAAAATGGCTGTCAGTTCAGTTTCATGTTTCTAATTTAAGAGAAAAGAAACACCATTTTACGAGATTTCCCACCTCCCCTATCACCCGGCTCCCCCTTCCCTTCAGAACCTCCCCAGTGAACAGCGCACCAAGGTCTTCCCCTCCTTCTACCTTCATTTTTAACCGTTGGTGGAAATACCATGGTAGGAATCCAAAGAAAAATATTCAGTGCTGAAAACGGCAGCTTAATTCAACAGAGAGAATACTGACACATTCTCCCCATCACACATTTCTTAAAACTCTTTTATGTTGAGTTTTTTACTCCTAGCTATACATTTGCAAAGCACACACTCACCCACACAGATATGCACACACACACACACACACACACACATACACACACACACTCACCCCCAGATGACTTCTGTGGAGGAATTCTTCTGTAATGAGATTAAATACATTAACCTCCTACTTCAGTGCACTCAACAGCTCTCTTCAATTAGAGAAATTCTGTATCTTTACACAAGCAAATAATTTTAACTGATTTTTGATTCCCCCTCAAGTTATACACAATGTAACAGAGCTCATTTCAAGCAGAAGTCTTCAGTTCTCTCTCACATACACACACACACACACACACACATACACACACATACTCTTAAAAGAAATATTTTAACCACTCACCCAAAATTTGTGAAAAATGTAAAACATGCAGATCATCTTCGGAGTCTCATCCATATCTGACATAGCGCTTATTCCCAATGTTCTGCAAAACTAGCCTGGTAGAAGTGGAGAGATCTAAATAGGTCTGGTGAAAATATCTCATTGCCAACACTCCAAGCATCAGAGTTACTGATTATAAGCAGCGATGGCTGTCAGTACTCTTTATCCTTTAGGGGAGAAGACACCCAGGCTGATTAAAAGCCAAGGAGGGTGGAAGGGAAATCCTACCATTGACCTACGTCAGTAATTTAATGCCTGAATTTCACCTAGCTGGAAACAAATGCTTTCCTTTCCTTTTTGCAGTCTTTCTGACTCCTTGTGGCTTTCTTCTACTAGTCCAAAAGCAATATGAATGGGGAAAATAGATGCATTTTGTGTGTTGGTAAGGGAAGACCTAATAAATCATCAGGCTTAAATACTGGGATCTTGGAGGAGGCTTGAATTTTCTAATGTTCACCTCAGAGCTCCAATCCTTATGACACAACTCTGGTTTGGAGGAAGGTATCCTAAAAAATGAGAGGTCTCAGTACTGCAAGACATCTCCTGTGGCATCAGGTTCACGGCTGCAAATCTAGCACTTGCAGCAAAGGCAGTCATGCAGCAAGAAATCGGAAGTCTCGGTGAATCTCTCTCTAATTCTGACCAGATGTCAACTGGATCAGAATTACTCAAAGCAAAAAGGCTTCATTGCATAAAGGCAGCAGAAATCTTACTCAAAAGCATGTATCTAGCATATTCTTTCTCAGTTTGATCAGATCCATTCATCCATTAACCAACAGTTCTTTGCAGAAAAGAAAAAAAAAAAAGACAAGCCATTGAAAACCTGCCCGGTCAGTGTTAAACTCCCAGGCATTTTACAACTTTAATTCAATTATTGTTAGAAAAGGAGACAAATACAATTTTCCTTCCCTCTTCCTTTCTGCCTTTCTCTCACAAAAATAAAAAAAAAAAAAAAAAAGGTGGGGTGGGGTGAGAGGTAAAGAGAATAAAGTTGTAGCTGGCTACATGCAAGGTTGCAATCCCGCCCTGGAAACCCCTCTGTGGTGACTGTGTGCTGCTGTTCGCCAGCTCCCTACAGAGGTTCAGATTGAGAAGGGGGGGGGGGAAGTGGGGGTGGGAGCGACGGGGGGGGAGGGGAGAAGAGAAAAGGGGTTGCATCGGGATTTTTCTTGCGTGTGTGGGTTTTTTTCCCCGAAGAGTTCAACCCTTAGCTTACCGCACTGCATATCCGGCTGGAGGCAGCTTTCAGTACCGCCGACAGCAGCAGCGAGCCAGCAGCCCCAGCCGGACACTGCCACCGAACTGAGCAGCACCCCGAGTTGGGAGACATGGATTTCGGGGGGGTGAGGGAGGCGGGGGAAGGAGTGGAAAGCAACAGCAAGCAAAGAGCTGGCGGGGAAAGGGTGGGGGGACGAGGAAGGGAGGGAGAGAAGAGGGAAAAGGGAGCGAGAGAAAAGTCGACCCCGGTACTTACTTCGCCCGAAATCTCCAGGGCCCAAGCATGGTGGCAGCCCATGAAGAAGCCTCCCCGCGGCGCGGCGGCGGTGTCGGTGTCGGTGCGGCGGCGGCCGGGGCGGTGGGTGCGGAGCGGAGCGGAGCGGGCTCCCCCCGCGCGCAGGCGGCGCCGAGACACAGCGCTCGCACAGGGGCGCGCGCACACGCGCGCACACGCGCCACACACACACGCTCTCTCACACACACTCACACTCACACACGCGCGCGTGCCCGGGCAGCCGCGGGGGCGCGCCCGCCACGCACGCGCGCTCTGGCGCGCGCGGCCGCACGGCGGGGGTGGGGGCGGCTGGCGGCGCGATGCGCGGTGCGGAGCGGAGCGGTGCCGCCACCGCTGAGCGCGGGTGGGGGGCGGTGCCAGCGGAGCGAGGGCGGGGCGGCGGCGCTGGGGGCGCCGGGGGGTGCGCGGGGAGGCGGGAGGGAGGGGGCCGCGGTCCGGGGTGGGTGTCCCCGAGTGACGGCGCGGTGGCAGCGGCAGCAGCAGCCGCCGGCGCCGTGGGGCGCCGCGCCCCCCGCCCGCACGGGCACGCACGGCGCGGGCACACGCAGCACACACAGATGCCGATACGAGCGCGGCGTTCGCCCCGCCACACCCCCGGACTTTCCCCAGCACGGGCCAACTTTCCGGTCACTCCGCCGCCGCGGACACCGCCCCGTGTGCCCCCCGTCCCCTGGGGCGATAGTCCCCAGCCACCCCCGTGCTCTCCTCGCAGCGCTCGCTGGCCGCGGCCGGGTGGAGCGGAGCGGAGCCGCGAAGGGGGGGGGCAGCGGGAGCCGGGGGTCCGGCCGTGGGCGCTTCTTGTCCGGGAGCCTGCGCTGCGTTCGCGGAGACCGCGGGGAATTGGGTGGTCGCGGTGAAACGAAAGCGACGGTTTTCGCCACGCACATCTTCCGAAACCGGGGGCGCGCGCGCGTGTCGGGGCCGTTCAGTTTGTGCTTTCTCCTCTGCCCACCCCGGCCGCGGGGCGCGGAGGGAGCCGGGGCGCGGGTGCACCCACAGCAAACTAAGCGACTGCGCGGCCGCCCCCATCCCTCCCGGGCCGCTCCCCGCGGCCGCGCTCCGGCCGCTCCGGGCGGGCGCGGCGCCTCTCGCCGCCGCCAGGTGGCAGCGCAGGGCGGCGGATGGGCCGCGCGGGGCCGCCCCGCGGGCTGCGCCCAGGGAAGGCGACGCCGTGGGCGCCGCATTCCTGTTGTTGCCGGTGGGATCACCGGCGTTATGCGATGTGCTCTGGACCGCAGAGGGTAACACTGGCTGGCTAGCAGTCGTCATGGGTTTTTTTCGGGTTCGATTTCGGCTTTTATTTTCCGCCAAATTCCGTGTTTGGCTGATTTAAAAGAAAAATAATTTAGGAAAAGTCATTTAATTGCATACGGTGAAAGATGTGCACGTGGTCGCATTTGTGTGTATTCATTACTGCTGTGGGCTCTATAGATTGTAGTACATAAGTTGAATAAGTGTTATGCATACAGGAACACATGGAGTATATCCCATGTGCACAGCACAGAGGTTGGAATCGAGCTTTAACTCAAAGGTAATGCTAGATGTGGTTGTGCCTTCGTGAGTTTTATTGTGTGAGTCTAAACACTGAACAATGTTCTGCATATGGTGTATGATTTCAGTACATGTATATCTTCAGCAGACCTCTGTTAACTCATATCTTAACATCCCAACGTGCTAAACCCAGAGATGATTGTAAAGAATCATCTTTTTCTTCTCAGCCTTCCTCAAAAGGCGTATTTTTCTTCTTTGCAAACATAAAAGGAGTGTGACTCAAATCCTCTTTCCCTAGGCCTGAAATAAGCGAGATCTTATATTTGAATGGAAGACAAATTTTTTATATGGACCAAGTAATTTTCCTGACCTTGTAGAAGCTTTTGGAAATCTTCTCAGTGGGACAAAGTACTTACTTAAATTCTTAAAGGATCACTGACATTCCCGTTTTGATGCAAAACCAATTAATTTAGTGGAAGGTTTTGAATGGTTTTGGAGTGAGTTCCAAGGTGCTAATTTTAGTCAGGAAAAAAATACCAAACCATACTAGGTGCTCTTCCTTCCCCCCTTACATACACTCTCTTAAGCTTTTCTAATATTCAATATGGAATTTACAATAGTGGAACGAAAAGAATTCACAGATAGTAAACAGAGATGTCTAACAGGAGTTTCTTATGGCCTCACTATTTTTGAAAAAATCTTTGTTTTGAATTAATAATTCTGCACTTTGAATATATGGGGGTTTATGCATATAAAACCCCATATATTGCTTGCATTTTTTAGATCTGTCATATTTATAGCATCTGCTTATTTTTCTATGCTATTTTTCTCTCTGACACACAAAATTAGACACATGTAAATACTTCTTTTATTCATAACAGAGAAAGATATTTTAAATAACCCTGTCAGCTAGGCTGAGCTTAACTCCTTCCATGAAACTCTTCTGGAGAATTTGTCATTTCATAAAACCGAAATCATGTTAAAAGCTATTATGTAAAAGTCAATATTGGAGACGCATTTCAGTTTAATTGTTCTGATCCTGTACTAATGAGATATTAAAATGCATCATAAATAGAAAATTTGATTTAATGAAATCTTTCTTCTGAGTTGTTAGACTGCTAGATTGTTTTAGTAGCATGCATGAGATTTAAATAGTTATTAATGTAGAACTGTCATGCTGTTGGTCCATTCATTTTTATTCTAATTAACATTTTATTTTTAGTAATAGACCTTAAAGTTCTGTAAAGTTTTTCAGAATTTTTATTTCAATATGTATGACTAGTATGAGAGAACGGCTCTATATTGCGTACTGGAATTGGAATTAGACTCCATTTGAATGGAGTCTAATTCTAATTTGAATGGAGTCTGCATAGTCCAGAAGTATTTCTGACAGTGAAAAGTTACATCTGAATGTTGAACTGGAACTGTCACTATAAACCGAAGCACACAAACATCAAACAGTAAATGCTGCTAAATTTATGAGAAATAAAGATGTTTTTATTATTATTGTGCTGCCTCTTGCTAATTTATCTTTCGTCTACATTTCATTAAACTGGGAAATCCTAAAACCCTTTAAACTGAAATACTCAGGAGGAAAGTTGGAAATAAATCATATAATCCTCACATGGAATAAAAATAGAGGGACCTGAGTGAAGATGGAACAAGAGAAAAGACAGATAAACAAAAGGATATGGGGCATACATGCATTATATGTATAACAACTTGTAAGTGTACAGATCTACCCCTTTTCTATAGTACTTCAATCAATGACAGTGGCAGGAACAATTGATGTGAAACCAGATACGGGAAACCAGGAATATGGAGGTTCCAAAGTCATTAAGTGGCATACACTGAAACAGAAGGATGGACACTCTTTGTTTAGTTCATGCACTAAAACGTATTAAGGAGTGAAGACTGTTAAACAATAGTGCAATAAAAATGTTAAATCTGAGGGTGAAGATGAGATAGTATGCATTTCAATGAAAATCATTGAGCAAACGGTAGGAAAAATATTTAATAGGGATGCAATTTATTGTGAATCTGCTGGTACAGATTTGATCTGGATAATAGTGCCTACAAGTAAGGGGAGGGGGAGCAAAAGTTGAGATTGTGTGATCATGCAAATTTGTGTGATTTCTCATGGGTAAATATCAGCAAAAAGTTCAACCAGTGATGCTGGGGATGATGAGATTTTGAACATTATAGAACATTATAGAAGATTACTTCTTTTATGGAACAGACACTGAGGCAAGGATAACTTAGACTAAATCTTAGTAAATGATAGGATCTACAGGAAAAAGTTATAGAAATTAAATGTGATGGTTTAGAGCTTTTCTACTTCATGTGAAGTTGCAAGACAGAAGAATGTGAAGGATCTATGATAGCAGTCCAGTGTTTCAGAAAGGCAAACAAAAGCAAAAAATTTTAGTGAGGAGTACAGGAAGTAGAATTTAGGTAACATATATATTACTGTATGTAAAAAAAAAAAAAAGGCAAATTATATTAAATGTTTACACTGGAGAAGAGGGAAAGAAATGAAATAGCCCCCCTAAACAGGGATGAAAAAGAATTCCCAGAAGGTAGCAACCTTAAGCAAGTTATTAAGAGTAAGCACGAAACCTAAAAAGAACGGAAAAGAGATACTGATTAGCAAGAAGAAATCTGCATCAATAGTTTGAAAGTGTAAAACCAAGCTGAGAATGGTCAGAAATCTTGTCAAACCAAAACTTGCACAGAAGCCTGAAACATAGTGCAAACTTCTTAAGCCATGTAAGTAAAATGAGAACTTAAGAAGTGGGACGAATGTTAAAGGATGAGGTAGACATTAAGAATAAAGTAGACCTGGACTAAATAGATACTGGAAAAGTTGCCTCTGTTTCTGATAAGAATTTTTATATATAAAGAGAAGTCACATCATCAGTGTATCTGGTCCTGGTGGACCCAAGCATTTGGTCCAGCAATATTCTGTTCTAAAGCACTGAAAGGATCAACACATGAAATTCAAGTCCAAAAGTAAGCAAGACAAAAATTTTGGAGGAGGTTAGAAAAGGATACAGTACATAATCTTGAGAGGGGGGTTATCTAAATGGGTGGAAGTCTTTAGTGGATTTTGTTGGTGGCCAGTTTTTAGCTCAGTCCCTTGTAATGCACTTAGAGCTGATTTCAGGGTATAAGATAAGTGTGTCTGGACAGACTTTGTAGACCGCACAAAATTAATGTTTTTTCTGAGAAACAGATGTGTTGAGATACATCATGGAATCATGGAATCATATTGAGGTTGGAAAAGCCTCCAAGACCATCGAGTCCAACTGTCCCCCAGCACCGCTAAGGCCACCAATAAACACGTCTCCAAGAGTCACATCTACGTGACTGTTAAATCCCCCCAGGGTTGGGGACTCCACCCCTGCCAGGGCTGGATGACCCTTTCAGTGAAGGAATATTTCCAATATTCAACCTAAACCTCCCCTTGTGTCAATATATATACTATATAAATATTTGCAAATGTAGTCTTACTGTTTGTATTTTAACTTGTCAATATTTCTGAATTTAATTCATGTGTATCTATATATTTTTTCTTTTGTCCCAGGCTGATAGAGATGGTGTGAAATTGAGTAATGTAATCTACAAACTCAGGAATGAAAACCTT